CCTACCCAGCCAAGCTCAGCTTCATCGGCAATGGAGAATTAAAATCCTTCCCAGACATCTAATCCCTAAGAGAGTATGCAGTTTCCAGACCAGTTCTACAAGAGATGCTTAAAAAGGTATTAAACACAGAAGAAAGAAAAAAAAAAGAATGCCCACACACTTCTCGAAAGAAGAGCAGAACACAAAATCAACAGAGAATACATCGCAACAGCAAACTTGAAGATACACACTTACATCAACCCAAAACCTAAAAGAAAAACAAAGAAAGAAAAAACTTAACAAGAATCTCATGATGAGGATAAACAATCACATTTCAATGCTAAGCCTAAATGTGAATTGACTAAATGCACGACTGAAGACACAGAAGGGCAAGCTACTGCATAAAAAACCATGACTCAATTATTTGCTGTATTCAGGAAACTCATCTCACCACAAGGGATGCACACAAACTCAAAGTTAGAGGTTGGAAAATGATTTTCCAGACAAATGGATCACAAAAGAGTGCAGGAGTCAAAATCTTAATATCAGACAAAACAACCTTTAAGCTATCAAAAATTTTAAAAGATACAGAAGGACACTACATAATGATAAAAGGCTCAATCCATCAACAACAAATATCCATCCTAAAAACACATACAATCAACACAGCATTTATAAAGCTACTAAATAAACTAAAAAAAGATATTGACTCTAACACTATTATAGCTGGGGACTTAACTACTCCACTAACAACCCTAGATAGATCATTGAGGCAAAAAATCCAAAGAGATATGGAACCTCAACTTGATGCTCAACCAAATGGACTTAATAGATACCTACAGAATATTCCATCCAACAACCACAGAATATACATTCTACTCACTACCACATGAAACGTATTCCTGATCGATCACATCCCTGGCCATAAATCAAGCATAAACAAATTCCATAAGATTGAAATATTGCCATGCACTTTCTCAGACCACAGCAGAATAAAAATAAATATCAAATATCAACAGCAAAAACATTTCCCAAAAACCCACAAAGACATGGACACAAAACAACATGATGCTGAACGACTTACTGGGTCAACACCAAAATCAAAACAGAAATTAAAAGATTCCTGGAAACAATGAAAATGAAGAAATATCTTACAAAAACCTCTGGTATGCCATGAAAACAGTTCTAAGAGGAGAATTTATATCTCTATGAACACATATCAAAAAAATGGAAAGATCACAAGTTAACAGTCTAACAAATCACTTAAGGGAACTGGAAAGACAAGACCACCAAAACCCTAACTTTAGCAGAAGAATCAAGATCACCAAAGTAAAAGCCCAAATATGGGACATAGAAGACAAAAACATCATAGAAAAAAATCAGCAAAACAAAAAGTTGGTTCTTTGAAAGAATAGACAAGATTGATGGACTCCTAGACAGAATGACCAAGAAAAAGAGAGAAAAGGTTCAAATAATGCAAAAGGTCAAATCAAACAAAAACTTCAAATAATGCAAAAGATCAAATAACAACTGACCTTGAAGAAATACAAAAGATTATCAGAGATTACTATGCACACCTGTATGGAAACAAACTTGATAACCTAAATGAAATGGAGGACTTTCTGACATCACACAATCTCCCAAGGTTGAAACAAGAAGACACTGAGACACTAACTAGACCAGTAACAAGCCAGGAAATTGACTCTGTCATAAGAAAACTACCTACCAAAAAAAAAAAAAAAAAAAGCCCCGGACCAGATGGCTTGCCAGTGGAATTCTACAAAATGTATAGGAGCTGATACCAATTCTATTGAAAGTATTCCAGGCAATTGAGAAGGATGGAATTCTCCCCAAATCATTTTATGAAGCTAACATCATACTGATACCCAAACCAGGTAAAGATCCAACAAAAAAAGAGAACTCCAGGCCAATATCCCTAATGAACATAGATGCAAAAATTCTCAACAAGATTCTGGCAAATCAGATTCAACAATATATCCCCAAAATCATCCACTATAACCAAGTAGACTTCAACCCCAGAATGCAGGGCTAATTCAACATCTACAAGACCATAAATGTAATTAAATATATCAACATGTGTAAAAACAAGAACCACATGATTATATCATTAGATGCAAAGAAAACTTTTAGCTGGGCTCAGTGGCTCAGCCTGTAATCCCGCGCCTTTGGGAGGCTGAGGTGAGTAGACTGCCTGAGCCCGCGGGTTTGAGACCCGCCTGGGCAGTGAAACCTCATCTCTACAATAAATCAAAAAATCAGCCAGGCGTGGTAGTGCATGCCTGTAATTCCGGCTACTTGGAAGGCTGAGGCGGAAGGATCGCCGGAGCCCAGCAGGTTGAGGCTGCAGTGGCCGGGAGCGGCCACTGCACTCCAGTCTGGGCGACAGAGTGAGACCCCAACTCAAAAAAAAAAAAAAAGAAAACTTTTGATAGAATCCAGAATCCCTTCTTGGTAAAAACCCTCAAACACCCAGGCATAGAAGGAACAAACCTCAAAATAGCAAGAGCCATCTACGAGAAACTCATAGCCAGAATATTGCTAAATGGACTGAAACTAAAAATATCTCCCCTGAAAAGTGGAAGAAAACTAGGTTGCCCATTCTCACCCCTCTTATTCAACATTGTGTTGGAAGTCCTAACTAGAGCGATTAGACAAAAGAAGGAAATCAGGGGTATGCAAATAGGAAAAGAGGCAGTTAAGTTATCCCTCTTTGCTGATATGATCCTATACCTCGAAAACCCAAGCGAAGCTTTCAAAAACCTGATCGAACTGATAAAGGACTTTGGCAAAGTCTCAGGGTACAAAATAAATGTTCAAAAGATAGTCACATTCTTATACACCAACATCAAACAGGTAGAGAGCCAAATAAAAAGCACAATGCCATTCACAATAGCCACAAAAAAAAAAAGAAAAAAAAAGAAAAAAGAAATACCTTGGCATCTTCCTAACCAGAAAAGTGAAAGACCTTTACAATGAAAACTACAAAACACTGCTCAAAGAAATCCAACAAGACACAAACAAATGGAAAAATATTACATGCTCATGGATAGGAAGAATCAACATTGTTAAGATGTCGATCTCACCCAAGGCAACCCATAGATTCAGCACAATACCCATTAAATTACCAATATCATTCTTCTCAGACCTGAAAATGATAATACAGAAATTCATATGGAAACATAAATGACCACAAATAGCCAAAACAATCCTTAGCAAAAGAAACAAAGCAGGAATTATCACACTTCCAGACTTCAAATTTTACTATACGGCTACAATAAGCAAAACAGCCTGGTATTGGCACAAGAACAGGTATACAGACCAATGGAACAGGCTAGAGATTCTAGAAGCAAAACTTCAATTTCTCAACCAACTCATCTTCAACAAAGCCTCCAACAACAATCACTGAGGAAAGGGGAACCTATTCAGTAAATAGTGCTGGGAAAACTGGCTGACCACATGCAGATTGAAACAGGACTCCTACCTATCACCATACCCAAAAATCAACTCTAAATGGATCAAAGACCTAAATGTAAAACCTAAAACTATAAGAAACTTAGAAAATGCAGGAGACACCCTTATGGAAATTGGAACTGGCAACCTATTCCTGATCAAAACCCCAAGTGAAACCTCATTAAATTGACAAGCTTCCGCAAAGCAAAATAAACAATCAAAAGAGTGGGAAGACAGCCCACAGAATGGGAAAAAATATTTGCCAACTGTATATCTGACAAAGGCCTAACATCCAAGATCTACAAGGAACTCAAACATGCCAAAAATAAAACAACAAACAGTCCTAGTAAAAAGTGGGCAAAAGATATGAATAGACACTTCTCAAATTAAGATATACGGGCAACCAACAGACACATGAAAAAGAGTTCAGCTTCACTAATCATCAGAAATACAAATCAAAACCACACTGAGATACCACCTAACCCCGGTAAGAAGGGCCATCATTAATAAAACAAACAACAGGTGCAGACGACGACGTGGAGAAAAAGGAATGCTTCTACACTTCTGGTAGGAATGAAATCTAGTGCAACCTCTTTCGAAAACAGTTTGGTGATTTCTAAAAGAACTAGACATTGACTTTCCATATGACCCAGCAATCCCCCTACTGGAGTATACCTGGAAGAACTCAAATCATTCTAAAAAAAAACCTGCACATGCATGCTTATTGCATCACTATTTATTCACAATAGCAGAAACATGGAACCAACCATGCTGCCCATCAAAACTGGACCTGATAAAAAAATGTGGTACATATACACAATGGAATATTACGCAGTCATAAAGAAGGACAAACATATGGAATTTGCAGCAACTTGGATGGATTTAGAGTCTAATCATACTCAGTGATTTATCACAGAAACAAAGAACAGAATACCACATGTTCTCACTCATAAGTGGACCCTGAATATTTACTATAATACTATAAAAAAGGGATTGGTAGTAGTGGGATATTGCCAGGGTGGGGGTGAGGAGGGAGAACACAACATCAGTAAGGGTATCTGATCTCAAACCAGGCAAAATAGGGACCAAAGGGAGGCCCAAACTTTATCTGTACGATGACCACTTGTATACCTAATCCTGAATTGTAATCCATATCTTTAAAAAAAATGCCTTGGGGATTACATTCACAAGCTGGACTACCCTCCCTGCCCATGGAAGAATGACCACTTGCTGCAACACGAGAGGCTGCTGAGCCGTTGCCATTGATTCAATGACTCCGTGTATGTATATAAAACGCATATCCTCTGTCACCCACATAAACACCTCTCTCTTGTACACATACAATAGAAATTATTATCCAGAAACATGCTGCATCCCCCCAAAATATTAGCCTATCTGTAATGTGAGAGAAGTGATGATTGGTTGCTGCATAGGGATGACTGTATTATGAATCTTGTTTTTGGCAACACAATGAAAAAGTTGTCTCTACAATATTAAGAAAGTCTTTATGGGTAAGAAGGATAGGCAGTGGGAAGCATGCATTTCCTTACCTCTTCTCCCATCTCGATGTCTCGGACTGCACGCAGTAAGAGGTGGGGCCCATTAAACACAATTGAACAGTTAGGGTCACAGCTGTGATTGAGCAAAGACATACTGGAGAGAAAAAAAAGACAGATTACCACAGCTCAGAAGACAGAGTCAAACAGCTACATTTAATGAATACAACAGGCAAAAGACACCTTAGGTTGAGGAGCAGTGGTGGGAAAGGTTGACAGGTTCCAGGGATTGAGTATTCAGGGTACATTCACAGAAATGTCATTAATACTTAATACAAAGTGCAATTCTCCCCAAGATGGAGGCTAATCAGGTCATTTTGTTAATAAAAAAATTTTCTGAGTACTTTTTGAGGGTGGAGTGGAAAAGTAGTCAACTCAGTAAGGCAACCCAAAATGAAGGTGCTGGGGGAACTGACTTGCAAAGAAATAATCTCGGAGATGATGTGTTGCTGCAGCCTAAAGACCACTGAACTTTCTCACACAGGACCTCATTTGTTAAGCTCCTCTGGAGGAACTGCCATCTCAGCTAGAACATCCACATTGAAGAATAATTAGGATTACTTCCTCTTAAACAGAAATCTGAGGTTATCTTGCTTACTAGATCCTGTTGCATTCTGCACCATGGTCCAGTCACTGTTATTTTCTTGGAGAAAAATTTTTGTACCATCTGGGAAATGGAATGGATTTAAACTGCCATCATAAATTGATAATAACTAGAATGAGCACTTACTATGTAGAAGGTGCTTTCTTGTATTTGAGCATGTTTATATATCATCACAACAATCTTATGAGGATCATTTATAGGGGAAGAGAATGACACAGAGATTACTTGCCCAAGGACACAAGTAGTAAGTGGTGAATGAATATGAACCAGCTGGCCTGAACTCACAGCCCATGCTCATAGAACATTCTATGTTACTGTTTTTTGAGAACCACTACCAATAGGCCTGACCTATAAAATAATGATTTGTGACAAGTAAGAAAAAAAACCCTGAATTCTCAGACTCACAATTAATTATAATAAAGTCTAAATTTGCATTTGGACCCTTATGGCATAAAAACAAAATGAAACAGGACCGACTATAGTGCTTGTGGAAGAACAGCTCTGTAGCTCCGTGACAAGGGTCAACTCAGCGACAGCTGGATAGAGTACTTCAAAGGGCCAAACCCTGAAAGTTTTCTTGCCTCTTTGAGTGAAAGAGCACAGAGTATGCTAACTCAAAAGACAAAATGAATTTGACTGGTGTGGTAGTGGTGAGTCTGGTGAAACAATTATGTGCCTCAGGCCATGGTGGAATAACCAGATCTCAGCCTGATGATTAATTAACACCCACAATCCTCAACTTATTACTCCAAAGCCTCCTGAGAATAGAAATTTAGGTCTGCCTCTTTGTTAATTCCACAGCATATAATGTAAGGTTATAAAATTGTTTTCTCTAAACTTAACATTTTCCATTTTCTTACAATTTATCATTATGTTTTAAGATTGGCTCTTGAACCTGCTGCTGCAATTGCCTTTCTAACTACCTCCAAAGGGCTGGGGATTTGGGTGGGAACTAAAGCTGTGTCTTCCAGTAAATGAAATACCATCCACCATACCTAGGATACAGGCCAACACCAACTTCCTGCATCTCTGCATTACAGATGGTGAAAGAGTTGCAGATCACCTGTAAAAACAAGGGGGGAGGAAATCAGTATTACTCGAGTCACTTAAGAAACTTCATAAGCAAGAGAATAAAAACATTGCAAATAAAATGTAGAGGCCTCTTAGCAGTTGCTCGGGAAAGATCTAAGCCAAACACGGATGCTCTTTGATTTGCAACTTATCTGGGACACACTACCCTTACGACCATCAGGAGGTTCAGAAATACCAATATCCTGGGGGGGGAAGAGGCTTAAACCAACACAGGAACTATTAATTTCAGTCTAATCACCCTCTGCTCCCAAAGTTACACAGTTACATGAAATGCTCAAAATTCAGAATACAAATAAGCTACTTATTGAAAACTAGACTCCTGCCATATGGATTTTTCACTCAAATTGCCTGCAGTTTCCAAATGCCACCCACGTACCTGTCTTTTTTTCCTGCAAAGAGTGACATATATCCTGAATGAGTTTGCAGTCCAAGTTAATGACAGATCACAAGAAGCATAGGAAGTCATTTCATTAAGACATGGCATGTACTAGACACATGAAGCCTATTACGGGGTATATAGCACAGTCCTATGCCCTTTGGAAGGATGGGCAAAATAAATAAAAAATATAATCACTGTGTTCAAGGAATGTAAACACCTCATTCGTGCTATAAGGTTAATGTATAAGAGGCCACATAGAATGATGAAAAGAGCACTGGACTTGGAATCAGAAATCTCAGTCCTGGTCACACACCCACTCCCTCAGAACAGATGTTGGGGAAACAGCAGTGAAACAAACAAACAAACAAACAAACAATAACAACAACAAAAAACCTCCTGTCTTTATGGAGATTGAGTTTTACTTGAAGAGACAGACTTTTAAAAAAGCATGATAGAAAGATGTCATGTGTAGATAAATGCTAAAAAGAGAAATAAGGAAAAATTTAAAAACAGGGAAAAACTGTCAGGAAATTTCTTTAGGACAAGCTGACATCTAAGCAATGACCTGAAGGGACTGTGGAAATGAACATGTGTACATACAGATGATAAAAGTTCAAGTCCAGAGAGAGAACAGTGCAAAGTCCCTGAAGTAAGAATGTTCTTGGTTACAGAGGAATAGCAAGAAGGCTGGTGTGGCCAAAGCAGTGGAGGTAAGAAGGAGAGGGGTAACATATGAGATCAGAGAGGCAGCAAGATCATTTAGGGCCTTGTAGCCATGTTTTCATTTTATTCTGAATTAAACAGAAAACCACTGAGATCCTGAGCCAAAGAGCAAATAAATTTGGTTTCTCCTTTAAAAGAATCACTCTGGCTGTTGTATAGAGAATGACCTTAAAAAGGCAAGAACAGAAGTAGAGAAACAATTAAGAGGTCACTGCTATAGCCCAAGTGAGAAATGATGGTGATTTGGATGGTGGTAACAGCAGAAGTGGGGAGAGGTGGATAGTCCTTACTGAAAGACTTGCTTATAGGGCATGAAAACAGTCGAGGATCATGCACGAGTTTTTGGCCTGAACATGTGGAAGAATATAGTTGCCATTTATTGAGATGAGGAAGAATGTAAAAGGAGCAGGTTTGGTTGCAGGGAATTGAAAGTCTAATAGTTCTGCTTTAGTTATTTTGAATTTGAAATGGCCGAATAGATAGCCAAGCCAAGACTAAGAATGAGCAGTTAGAGTTCACGGGAACAGTTAAGGCTAGAGATACAAACTTGGGATGAAACATAGCAAAGCACATAAAAAAGTAGAAGCGGCCACTGCAGACTTGAGATGAGCCAGTAATTACAAATGCAGGCCAACTTATTATAGAATTTCTGTAAATGACAAAGAAGTGGCAATACATTTCTCTAAATCAGGTTTACGCTCACTTTTTAAAAAATGTTGGCTCCATTCAGCACTATCTCAGTTAAGAACAACTTTACAGAAAATATTTTTGTATACAACTAATAGCAATAGTGGATGTGAAAAAGCTTTCAGGTTTTTTGTTTTTTTTTTAATAAAAGAGCAGGAAGATAATATGTCCATGCATGCTTGAGCAATAATTTGAAAGGAATTGTTCTTTATACCAACAAGTAAAAGAAAGGAAATAAAGCCTAGAAATAAAAAGTTGAAATATTTTCAAAGAATTATCTTTGTATAAACAGTTCTCTTAGATAAAATTGCAAAGATTAAGCAACTAATGAATGACTGCTTCACAGAAAGATACATTCAGAAAAGCATATCAATGGGATTCTTTTGATAAAAATAAAAGCAATTATGTTAAAGAATTCTTTCTTTCTAAAAATTAAGCTTGGGTATTACTTTAAAAATATATCCCATGACTTGAAACTAAAGCATATATTTGAATTATTTACTATAGAATGTAAAGTTATGTTTACTCATCATTATTTTTCCTTTAAAGTAATTGAAAGCCTTTATAATATAACATTATAGACTTTCTAGATGATAAAAGTCTAGTGAGGTCACCGAACCTTTATACTTAGATTAAGGGAAGGAAAGGGAAAAGAAGGGAAGATGACAAAAGTCTAGTGAGGTCAGTGAACCTTTATATTTTGTAAAAACAACTACAGCAAAACTTAAAATATTTTATGAATGAAATTCTTACGTCATTTGGTTCAGATTTTAGGTCCAGAATCTCACATTTGTGCTTTGAGGTCAAAAATTCCCTTGTAGAATTGACACAAATACAATCAACAACAAAACACAAGGCAAATATCTCAGAGACATACTAGACTCACTTTATATACTACGTGTTCAAATTTCACACTATTCCTCAAATTGTCAGAACTAGAAGCTTTTTATTGTAGCAGCAAACTGAAATATTTGAGACACAAGATTAAATGACTACTATATTGCTATCTTGTAACAGTAAAGCTCAACAGCCATGAGAAAACTTATAACCCAACCAGAACTGTGCAATTCTGTTCCATAACAGAAGACCTATCTACTTTTTTCAGCCCTCTTCCCCCTAATTACTGACTTCTACATAGCCTGTTTATTAAATAAGACTTTCAATTTCAAAACACACATTAAAACAGAAGAGGACTCAGTTTTGCAACAGAGTTTCCTCAAAGACCATTTGCATCCCATTTAAACTTCTCTATTTAAAGAATAAATATAATATTTGGCACACAGGACTTTAGACACAGAATTTACTAATTGGGAGACCAATAATAAATTTTCAAAAAAGAGCTTAATGCACTTAGTTTTAGTAATCTCTGTCATAGATGAAATGGAAGTAGGAAGAGCTGGCAGATATGAAAACCCAAAGCAGAGGTTTTCATACAAAATAATTGTCTTCTCTCCCCTATTCCTAGAATTAATAATTCTCTAACTTTAGAAGCACAATAATTTAGACAAGGTATATTTTTCTCTATCTACAGAATATGACATTTAATTAAATACAGATTTTTTTTAACAGAATCTTCTCACAGACTTTAATAAATTTAAATTTTTATCTCTCAATCTCTCCTACCTATGTGGCAAATATTTATTCATATTTCAGGATTCAATTCAGGTCCTTCCTGTTCCAATCCCACTTTTGGTCACACGTTTGTAATCTTTTACTAGCCTTAAGGATGAAGAAGAGCTTTCAATCGCTAAACCAGAATGACAATGGGAGGGAACCAGACTGGGGAGGGAGGTCAGCTCAGGAGAGAAGAGACCACATTTCCCAGATGATAGTTCACAAATCTCGGAATTCACAAAAGTGTTTCCAGAAGGTTTACAATAATAAGGGTGGTTATGGCATCTATTTCTTTCAATTTTTGAAAAACCAATAGCTAAAACAATTACCGCACTATATTTTCCCTTTATCATGAAGTTGCTGAAGAGCCTCCATGTTTTATCAGCAACATGCTTTAAGGTGGTGAGGGCAAAGGATTATGCTCAAAGGACTACTGAACCACTGAGCTGCTTCTTTGCTCCACTGCTAGCCTTGTGGCAGTTTGACATTATAGAGTTTTCCATTGTTTTTTTAGTCATACGTTATTTAATTTGCAAACCTAATGGACCACTGGCTAACGACAGAAGCAAGTAGTAAATATTACCCCAAAAGCACAGGAAAAAAAGCAAAAACAGACTAATGGGATTGCATTAAACTAAAAATTTTCTGTACAGCAAAGGAAACAATTAGAATGAAGAAGTTGGGCATGGTGACTCATGCCTGTAATCTCAGCACTTTGGGAGGCTGAAGAAAGAGGATTGCTTGAGCTTAGGAGTTTGACACCAGTCTGGGCAATACAGTGAGACCTTGTCTCTACAAAACAAATTGAAAAATTAGCTGGGTATGGTGGCACATGCCTGTAGTACTAGCTGCTCCGAAGGCTGAGGCAGGAGGACCACTTGAGCCTAGGAGTTCAAGGCTGCAGTGAGCCATGATCATGTCACTGCACTCCAATCTAGGTGACAGAGTGAGACCCTGACTTAAACAACAATAACAGCAGCAGAGTGAAGAGAAAACCTACAGGGTGGGGTAAAATATTTACAAACCATACATCTCATAAAAGGCTAATATCCAAAATATATAAGAAATTCAAACAACTCAATAAAAAGAAAACAAATAATCCAATTTAAAGATGGGCAAAGGGCTGGGCTCAGTGGCTCAGCCTGTAATCCCAGCACTTTGGGAGGCTGAGGCGAGTGGACTGCCTGAGCCCCTGGGTTCGAAACCAGCCCAGGCAACTTGGTGAGACCTCGTCTCCACAATAAATCAAAAATTAGCCAGGTGTGGTAGTGTGCACCTATAGTTCTGGCTACTTGGAAGGCTGAAGCAGAAGGATTGCCTGAGCCCAGCAGGTCAAGTCTGCGGTGGCTGTGTGTGTGCCACTGCACTTCAGCCTGGGCGATGGAGTGAGACTCCGACTCAAAAAAAAAAAAGGCAAAGGACTTGAATAGAAATTTCTCAAAAGAAGATACACAAATGACTAAAAGATTCATGAGAAAGTGCTCAACATCACTAGTAATGAGGGAAATGTAAATTAAAATCAATGAGATATCATCTCATACCTGTTTCATCAAAGAGACAAAAGATAA